ATGACTGGTCCAGAGATTGCGTACAAATGTGATTCCTTATTTTGATTCTTGGTGATATCAAATAGAAAGCTAACAAAAGTAATGTGTGTGTGACGATTCAACCAGAGAAATAATTAATAGAATCAATATCACGTGCTATTTTACATATATATTACATAGGCTGAGCGCGTTCTGGAGATGTAGTTGAGGTCGATCAGAATCATGTCAACAACTTCCAGAGAAGAATCACGTGCAAAGTGTTTTGAACACAACAAAGTAATGAGCATGGTGTGTAAAACCTGTGACAAAACCCCTGTATGCTACAAGTGTGTCGGGACATCGCATAAAGGCCATATGATTGTGGCCCTGAAACGGAGGACAAAAGTTGGCACCGTCGGGAATTTTTGCTCAAAGCATGAAAAAGAGTTTGTGTTCGTGTGTGAAACATGTGGAAAACAACCGCTGTGTAAAACCTGCTTCTACCCTTGGCACAAAGGCCACTCCATTACGGATTATAGTGAGTACGTGAAGAAACTCCGTGAGAGATTTCTGAGGATAGAAACAACCGAGAGAAAGACAAACATTAATCGTGTGGCAGCGGAAATCAAAAGAAAACGGGATGAACTCAAGCGCCAGGTTGATTCGGTGGCGGAAAAATTTGCCGCAGAATGTATGGCACATGAGAAAAAAAACATGGTTCATCCGAAAGCTAGTGAATTTGTGAAGTTTGAAACTAATTTTCCAGATGTTCAAAAACTTTTTGGGCAGTTGAAATAACAGATTAGAATTTCCAAAGCGTATCTGTTGTAGATCAATTTCTGAATTGCGTAGATTCTTTGGAGTTGGTCACGTGTGCATTTAATTTGGCACGAAATTAAAAAAAAAATCCATTTACTACAGGGACGAATGAATCGTTAGTATTTGTGGTAACATTGTAATTACTATTTTGTAAAAGCTCATCCTTATATAAAAATTTTATCGTTTTACATGTTGGACTTAAAGCCGTGAGATCTAAACTGTGGATGTTGTTTACCCTTCTATGCGGTATTTTGAGGTAAACTCACAGATTTTGTTTGTGGAATCAATATTTCAATTTACAACATCGCTATCTGAAAAAAAGCAAAAAATTCTTTGACATTCGTTCGCTATGTTAAGCTTAAGCGTATTGTTTATTTGTCAAATAACAATGATCAAGAGATCAGGCACAAGTTATAACGATATTATCACAACCGCGCCTCAAAATACTAACAGAGGCATAGAGCTATAACTGAATAGTATATAATGTGACAGAGGGGGAGGAGAAAGAGAGAGGGGGAAGAGAGAGGGGGAGGGGGCAGGGGAAAGAGAGAGAGAGAGAAGGGGGAGGAAAGGATGGAAGAAGTCTGGTGGTGAAACCGTAAAGGTGACATTTTTTCGATTTATACCTACGTTCCGGGGACATTCTAACGACTGAATAGGATGTACCCAATAATCATGGTCACTTAGATTACACAAAACTTGCACGATATGCCAAGAAAAGTACTTTTATTAAATGTATCTACAAACCTATTACTATCTTAATGGTATCCGCAAAAATTACATCTTCTCTCTTCCCCGTAACTTCATTAAGATAATATTTCTCATTTTAGACAATGATTTGATATCCTCGCATCTACGGAGATAAATATGTGTCCTCAAAGATTAACTATAAAATTGAAAACTAACCCAGACTTACACAAAATTTAGGAGAGGTTAAGTTGGGGTGAGGAGTGAATGATGCTTGACACAACCATATCGTTGATATTGCTATTGGAAATTATTATCATAGCTCGGTAAGATGAGCAGATATTACCCAAGAAAATAGGACTAAATCGTTGTTTTACGTCAACGTCATTTCCTGACGACGTATTTTGTAATACGCGGGGACAAAATTTACCAAGATCTAACAACACATTTCATAATATCTAGGAGTGTATCATATAAAGCAGATGTGGAAATTCTAAACCTTGACGGGTAATTTTGGTTCAGTCTGGAACAAAACACTTTCGATGTTCTGACACCAAATGTCTACCCGAGGAAAACCGAGTTTTTGTAGGCAAAATGTAACAAATGTAAAAAAAAAGTTGATATTTGATAAACGGCAACAAGAATGAAAACCTTTGAAATTCTTAATTACATATCATTTCTACAGACCGAAATCTTCCTTCTGGTGGTCATGTTTACGGATTAACGATACAGCGACAAATCAAGTGATTTATGTACATCTTGTCAGACAGGGTTGAAACAAAGTTAATAAAGCAATATATGAAGCAACAAAGGTTTTTGTGTTCGTTTTTGCATTCATTTGATACCAATGGTTTGATCGATAAATCGAAGGGAGTCGATTTCGTTTATGTCAAACTTTTTAAAACTGTATTACCATAGTCATTTGGTACGTTTATTATAAAGGGTTGAAGAAATGACTTGGCGATTTGATATCCACTTTTAGTCAATGATTGATCAATACAAAAACCCACATATACTCCATCAAGGAAGTTTCATGAAAACCTTACAAAAGGAACAAAGGTTCTCTCGCTCTTGGCCAATTGGCTTTTTGGTTCCATATGGGAATGAGTTTATCAAGGAGCTTAACCAACAAAGGCTTTACCAGGTACAATATACTTTAACTTTCCTTTCAGAAGATATCCGCTATGATAAGATAGTATAATTGATATCGCTAGTAACAAATATAAAGTATTCATATTATACTATCGGGTCTTACTGATCTACATTACCAGATACTAATTAGAGAGGGGGATGTAAACGGAACGTTTAGAGCAGAAAAAGTTGAGATTTGATTTAAACCAGTTGAGCGCTGCATTTGTATTAACAAAATGGTCCTGTGACACCATTTGTAGAATTTTCTTCTGTTTTCTCATTAATTTGACCTAGTTTCACACATTACACATTGGGATATGGAATCAACATGATCTTATAAACCTTTAACGTGTCTGACACTATTTCTTACTAGTTTTTCAATGCGCTAGTCTAGCTTCCTTTTCAATACTTTGACCTAGCTTTTTAATATGCTGACCTAGCTTTTTTTATATGCTAACCTAGCTTTTTGATACGCTAACCTAGCTTTTTGATACGCTAACCTAGCTTTTTTGATATGCTAACCTAGCTTTTTGATATGCTAACCTAGCTTTTATGATATGCCAACCTAGCTTTTTGATATGCTAACCTAGCTTTTTGATACACCAACCTAGCTTTTTGATATGCTAACCTAGCTTTTTGATATGCTAACCTAGCTTTTTGATACGCTAACCTAGCTTTTTGATATGCTAGCCTAGCTTTTTTTTAATATGCTAACCTAGCTTTTTGATATGCTAACCTAGCTTTTATGATATGCTAACCTAGCTTTTTGATACACTAACCTAGCTTTTTTGATATGCTAACCTAGCTTTTTTTTGATATGCTAAACTAGCTCTTCAGTACGCTAACCTATTTTCTTAATACATTAACTTAGAATTTTTAATACGCTGACCTACATTGTGTAGCTGTTCAATACCGTCAATTTTTACCTAGTTTTTCAATATTGCTAACCGAGCTTTTAAATGCACTAATCTACCTTTTAATACGTTTACCTCACTTCTTGGTGTGCTCTATTTAGTCTACTTGATAATTTTACGCTGTAGATACGTTCTCAATATTGAGTTGATTTGGTTAACAAACAGGGGTGAGAATACTGGGATTAATACTTCCAACATAAGTCTGCCTATGGATTTAAAGAAAATGGTAAAAATAATGTTCGTCTCTGTATCAAGCAAAATTCTCTCTAGATTAGACCAACTCTCGTGTTTGGCTAAGTTACTGATGTGCTAAATGTGAAGCGAATATGAATTTTTCATCAACCACAACACATAGGTCCTTTTCTTGTGTGACCTGCTCTATAGCGCAATTGATGTTTTAGACATTTAGGTAATATAGTTGTTCTGATCTGGATTGAAATGTGATTAGAGGATTATGTATTTACTTGTTAGTCTATTACTTATGTCTTACCAACAGATAGTTGATTTTATTTACAATGTTACTTTTTGTATGTTTCAGACCTCCATCATTTTGGATAATAAAGTTATCCGAAAATAGTATCGGCCTACTTATCTAGTGATGTATTGGGCTTCATAAGTCACATGCTTTTCCATGCACAGACTTTGTCGGTATCATGTTCATAGGGAAGAAAAGAGACTAAGGAGCTGTTTCCCGAACTGGTGAATATGTAACAATAAATAGAAATATAATAAAATTGTTATCACCGCCGACGCCTACTTTGTTTGTTTTATAGTATTTGAAATTCAACAGGGAACTTGAAACATTCCTCAATGGTATATCCACCGATAAAAACATATGTATCTTTTATCTGAGATGTATATAACACGCGTTGTATACGTCTCAGCTTTTAGTCCGATTTTTTCCGAAGTTCTGTCGATTTTGTTGTATATAGACATCGGTCTGGAGTCGAAAGAACGTCAGAATAATTCGTATTTTTAAGAATCTTCTCGTCTGTTGTAAGTTGTTGTATCGCATCATATTGTAAGCCCATACTTCGTAAAACTTACCCGATTCGACATCCATCACGAACCCTGAACACATGCTGATCTAGTCACTTCCGCGTAACTTCAAAGTGTATATACAATGTATGTCATTGTAATTTTCATAAGTTCTTAATTTGAGTACTTCAGTTATCATTGGGGATGTATGATAAAGATAAAATGTGAGTACAAAAGGAAATACTTACAAAAAGAAGATGAACGAAAAAAAAAATATGTGTTTGCTAGACATCGAACACCTATTTAATGGGGCATTAGCAAGTCTAAGAACTCAGTGGTTTAGGTCCGCACTTTCATCAAATTATCAACATTACATAGCAATTAAAACTGAAATATACATAAATTGTTTATATATGGCATTTAAAATTGTAAGTAAACAATACCAGTGATTAAGGTTTTTTTTATTTATCGTTATATATTTTTTCTTTTATTCACCCCGAACCTAACCTTTTACACCGATCTTCGAAGGTCACTCACGTTCCTTCGAAAATGTGGACAAAGTCGTTGCTACTTGTAAGACAGGCTGCGAAACCGGCTGTTGGTGAGACAACATTAGAAACTTTATCGGTTTATTTTTGTTTCTTATGCAAGGGTAAATGGTTTTGCTCACAGAAATCGTGTACATGGTTTGAAGTTTCATCTTAATTCAGCTCAATGGTGGTCAGATCTAAGGCCGAGTTGTGAAATTTTGCACGTACGAAAGACCAACTGGTCGCATTAAGTATCATAGCTGCGTTTACATCGCTCCAGACTCTTGTATCATTTTTATGTTTCAATGTTTTATATCGGGGAAATACAAGCTGCTCTTGCGTTAAACCATAGACCGAAATGAAATTCTTTCGGCCACACTCGAGAAGGGTCCATATTATAAGGCATAGTATAGTTCGTATTTGTATTGTAATGAAATGCGCCACATTTTTACAGATAATAACGAAAAACAGTCTCCATGCTGATATATAGATTGTTGTTTCTTTATATTTCTCTGATACAATTATAAAAGGTTACGAAATCTTTGAACTCGAGAAGATATAATGCAACTTAAAGATCATCCAAGGTGTTTGAAATTCTCTCGTAGACTGTAAATTCATATCATATGAAAAATAAGGGTACCACTAATTTCATACGTGATACCCTTATTATTCCCCCGCTGGGAACAAGGGAAGGAATTTTATGATTAGCATGGGTCCACATTGGGTGAAACAGTATGTACCTCAAAAGTAGCTCACCTTGACCATTAACCTTCCATTAAAGAAATTCTTTTTTTTACCAAACTCCATCTCATACACCAGCTACTAAGTCACTGTAGCTGTATATGCATGATTGGGTTCACCTTAGTAAGGTGATGTGTTCGTGGTTGACAGTAATTTGCAGAATTGTCTTGTTATTGTATGATATGCATGTATATATTTTTCTAAAGCCTAAAGTCAGAACTTCAAATACAATAAAGCTTAAGATTATAACATGGAAAGACAGAAGACAGAAATAGTGCCTAATTTTCCTTGTTAAAGCAGTTCAGGAGAAATTTTGAAAGAGTTAAATGTAGAATACAGCAGAGAACATTTGATTACTGCTTACAAATAAATGTAGATACTAAAGATAGTATACATCTGTTCGAAATAGCAAAGGAGTAGCAAGGATTGTACATTCAGACATATTACATTAGAATGACAACTTCTATTTTTAGAAAGTGATTTCACAACTTGGTCACCATTAAAGAAATCTTGAATAATAATAGATATCACAGAATATTGAATTTGCACTGAGCGCACTAACACCGCTTTTACTACATGCATATGTAAATGTGATTCTTTTTTTGCTTTGCAGCCCGGCAGTCAGTCCGCCATGGGAGCTATAACCTGAGGGAAATTGCTGTCAAGTATAACAATGACCTTTGTTCCGTACCAGTCCCACAGGGTTCCCATAAGGCAGACTTCAAGGCCAGGGATTTCAAATTGAACTGGCAAATAGGTGTATTAATAGCCTTGAATCTAGGACTTTACAAATTTGTAAGCATCTAATGAATTTGAGAGTAATAATAGTAAGTTCAGTGTTACGATATGGATAGACAAATTTTAATTGTATTTCAGGTCTATGATTCATTGTATTTTCATAAAATGTTGCCTAATAATAGAATTGTCCAGTACAAATGGGGAAGTACCGAACAGAAATGAGCTGGGATGTAAGCATCCAACATGTTGTAGATAAATTTGTATATAAAATGTTTGCATTCCTTATACTGATATTACATTCTTCATCCATTTCAAATTTGAAATTGAGGCATCAACCAAACTCCTGATCTATTACGAATGTTGTTACAGTGGTATATGGATTTATAAATATATATAATCATATGGAACAATGCATTTGTATAATAGGGAAGATGCAAAATACTGCTCATAATATGGTTTGTCCATTTTGTTATTTAATGATTGGCTAAAGTTTGTTTGTTTAGCTGAAAGTTTAGCCAAGTATCTGATCTTGATAAATACACTTCAAGGGTCGGACATTGCGATTATTGGTGCAAACATTTAGAAAAAAATTGCAGTTAATTTACAGGTACTAAATGTATATGAAGTTTTTCTTTCATACATGAAATATATTGGTTAAATTGTAATATTATGATGTAATATTAGAATATTTTGCTACAAATAACAACCTGACAAACTACAAATAAATCACAAGGCCTGGTTGGAACAGTTAACATGAAAGTATGACTGAATTAATGATCAATTTACATTAAGATAATGCAGGAGCCATCATTTCCTTTCTAAGCAGGCAATATTACTAAACAAACTGAAAACAACACACTAATCAACAAAAGATATTATTACGTTTCAAACTTTAAGCATGCAAGAATAGCACATTAGGGATACCTCGGATCAAATTATTTACTGGAAGCACTGCGGTAAAAAGTCCATGCTGAAAGTATACAGAAAAAACGCTGATAAAAAATATGATGTTATAATTGAGAAGCCTTTTTGTCTTTGATTCCTGTTGACACTAGAGTGTCATATTATGAATGACTGATATCAGTTTCTGTTGATATCTATCCTATAGAACAATGCTGGAATCTACACGTTCTTTGTACTGATGTTAACATTTGTAAGGCTTACTGCCGAATTCTACATAGTTCCAATTGCATTTGTTTACTTTTCAACCCTAGCCTTCGTCTTTGACTCTTCGGTCAAAGCGTGCCAGACTAGCCACTGAAAATTCTTTTGCTTCTGTCTAAATTTTTTTTTTCATGCTTTCAGTATGGGACCTACTATCCTGGTACAGATGCTAGAGGCAGGCTGAGCACCTACAAAATTGATCCTCCCGTCTATAACACTTCTGATAAATATGGGCATGTGGATGAACCTGACGAGTCTTACGTGTCTGTTTTTGGGGATGTAGAAAACTACAGCTATAAGGCATAAGTGGTTTGACATGACTTAACATTGAGATTGAAAAAGTTGAAGTCATACACTGGACAAATTCCTCTGAAAATCTGAATGTATTTGTAAAGGTTTTACTTTAAATTAACACAAAAACAACAAAAAAAAAATAAAAAATCTTGAATTAATTTTTACTTTTGTTATGATTACAAATTTGTTTCCATGTGATTCCAGCTGAAACATATTCCAGACATTCAATTTAAACAGAAAATTACTTTATAAAGGAGGTTGAAACAAATCTAAACTCTTTTCATCCTAGGATGATTCAGATCAAATTTGGACAAAATTAAACCATTCCACCGGAAGATAGATTTTAAAGAATTGGGTATGGGCCCCATGCTGCTCCAGAAGACAGAGTCACACCTTTTTAACAAAAGTGATCCCCTTTCACTAAAGCATGCTCGGACCAAATTGGGTCATCAAGGCTTTCCAACAGAAGAAGGACATTAAAAGAATTTGCTATTTTTCCTTTATATGGCCCTACCCTTCTCGCCCTAGACCCATCGTTTATAAAAAAATTATTTCCATCAACTTAACAATGTTTAAGACCAAATTTGGACAAAAGCCAATCAATCATATACATTGGGACAGAGTCCAGGCATTCTTAGAGAAGAAGGGTTTTTGGCCCACAATCATCAGATGGTGGGTTATTCAAATTGCTCTGCGTCCATCGTCTGTCCATAAACAACTCTTGTTAACGTTTATTCTTTGGAAGTTCTGGATGGATTTTTCTTAAATTTCATTTCGTAGCTTCCCATTGGTCACTAGCTGTGCCCACTTGATTTTGGGTCTGATAAAAAAAAAATGGCTGACAAAATGATGACCATCTTGTATTTTAACTTTGAAAGTTTGTTATTGCTTTTTCTTAAAAAGTATTTGATGGAGTTTTCTCAAGTTTCATATGTAGGCTCCCCTTGGTCTCTAGTTGTGCCCATGTAATTTTGGAATTGATGAGAAAAACAATATGGCCACAAGGTGACCATCTTGGATTTTGACTTTGAAAGTTTGTTATTGCTATTTCTGGAGAAGTACTGAATGGGTATCTCAAATTTCATAGGTATGTTTCCTTTGGTCTCTCCTTGTGCTCGTTTACTTCTGGGACTGATCAGAAGAAATAAAATGGTTTCTAGGTGATCATTTTGGATTTGGCAGGTAAAGATATCATTTATGTCTGCAAAAGAATGCTCAAATGTCTTATCATTAAGAGCAAAAACAGAGAAAAGAAGGGAAATGAAGAGATCCTGAGATAGTCCTGACCAAGTTTCACCTGTAGGATTGAGCTCAAACTTGCATGAAATGATCCGGAGATGGTCCTGACCAAGTGATGTTATTTTTCGGGTATGTCTGAAATCCAAGATGGCTGCCAATTTGAAAAACATATTTTAAATTTCTTCTCCAGTTCCATTAGTACCATTAAGCTAAAAATTGGAGGGAATATTAAGGAAAGGTAGTCAACAAAGTGTTATTATTTCGACCTTGTCAAAACTTCAATACGGCAGCCAGGGAGGCCATTTTGTTACATAATTGCACAATCATAGTTTTCCTGTGCAATGCTTATTTCAAACTTTTCAAGTTTCACAGATTGGATTTAGCTCCAACTTTACTGTCAAGTAATTGGTAACACTTGTTCGGTTACCTACTCACCACCAAAACTACCATCTGCATAATGGAAAACTGAATCTTAGTCAGATTTCATTCAAAGTAGAAAAAATAATCTTTCTCTGAGGGCCTGCTGAAAATGTTTGTTATCTGATGACCCTTAAGGCTCATGAGTCTCTTGTAAAGAACTTGCTCTGTTTTCCCTATTGGGCCCCACCCCTCTCGCCCAAAGGAGCCAAGATCCACTGTTAATTACAAAATTCATTCCCATTCATCCAAGGATGCTTCAGAGCAACTTTGGGCAAAATCTAAACACTTCTACAGGAGTAGGATTTTAAAGAGCCTACAATTTTTTTTTCATTTTGGGCCCTGCCCCTCAGGCCAGTGGGTGCTGAGACCTACCTTTTTAACAAAATTAGTCCCCTTTCCTCAAAGAATACTTCTGACCAAATTTGGTCAAAATTTGCAAAGTCATTCATGACTGGTAGCAATATATAGAAAAAGTTGGTAAATGGTTGCTGTGACATGTCATAAGCGGACTTGGCCCCTATTGGCCAGTAGAGCTAAAAACCTTGTTACAATTCAATATTAAGTGTGACAGGCAACTGGAATATATTTTCTGTTTGTTGATTTATTGACAATAAGACATCTAACTGTCTTGTTCATCACCAACTTTTGTAGCTCTCTTACAGATCTGATCACGACTGCTGTGCTTAAACCCGCCACTTTCTATTCCACCATATTCCAACATACTTCATCTGAACATAAATTTTCAGCAGTGATTGTTCAGAGTCATGTACTGATATGATTCCTAGAATATGTTGTCAATATTCAAGAAGTACTGGCCTGGAGTTATAAATTCAAAATAAAAAAATATTTGCATAAAACAAGAGGTCCTTGGGTCTTAACAGTGATCTGACTATAAAGAAGACAAAAAAGACACTGTCTGTTCAAAAGACATTTTCTGCAAACCTGAAATCCTATTACTTACAATGCTACAATACAAATACCATGACCCTGGACCTAACCTCATTCAAAGACATTTTATGATCTCTCAATACATTTGACCCTGGAGACCTTGAAAGTCAGGCAATGTTAATCATTTGAATAAATTTTGTAGCTCTTCATCATTTTATCCTAGAGGGTAAAGTCAACTGTATAAACAAACTTGGAACCCAATCATCCCACCATGGTACTGGCACAATATCAGCACTCTGGGCATTTTGGTTATTGAAAGGAGGTTTTAAAGATTAAACACATTTGACTTCTGTAGCCTTAAAAAAGGGTCAAGGTTATTTACATAAACAAACTAGGTACCACTTTATCGAAATATCCTACAGCCCAATATCAAGATCCTAGGCCTTTTGGTCATCCAAATAAAGTTGTTTAAATATTTTTACATTTTTGACCCCTGTGACTTTCAAAGTGGGGTTAAGGTCAATGCAACCATATGAACAAACTTGGCAGCCCTTCATTCCAGTATCCTATATGCCCAATATCTGCATCTTGGGCCTTTTGATTATTGAGAAATTATTTGAATGGAAAGTTTATGCACAGCGAATAGCATATGGCACACAACTACAGATGAAACACAACAGCTTGAGGTCAGTTCAGATGACCTAAATGTTTTTGCATACAAGCCTATATCTTTGGCGATCTGTGAAGTTGGATGAGACATTTTAAGTTCAATACAGCTATTTCACAAGTATTTACTCTGATTCTCGAGGATAAAGCATTCTATTACATTTTTGCTAGTGAAATATACGATTGATTTGATAAAAACTTTATCAACACTGCAGTGATGATATAAGAAATCTGATCAACAATAGTGATGATATATCTTTTGTAGTTATGACCAATTAAAAAGATATTTTTTAGTCACTGCATTGAAATTCACCGATTTTCCTCTTAGGATACAAATGAAGTGAAGGTTGAATAAGTTTGTTTTCCAGCAAATAATTCAAGCGTAAATTTCTGGTTTTCTCTAATTTTGTGTACGAAAAAAAACTATAAGCTATTTCAATAAGATAAATTCATAAAATGACAACATAAAGCAGCCTGTTCACAATAGCATCATCTTGTTGTCAAGCAGAATGTTACTCTATCTGATGGCAGCCCATATGCATAACTTTATGTTTCAATCTTATTTTTATCTTCATTATTTTGATTTCTCTGTAAAAATGTAATAAAAAGAAAAATAATGGTTTCCTGTTTGATATACATTCATTTGTATGACCGAATATATTTCTTTCACTTGAGAAAAAATATAAATATTCTGTCATACATATTAAAGAGGAAACTACTGAATATCCTATATATATTTGCCGTGCTTTTGATAATAACAAAGTTTTAACACATTTCAAGAAAAATAGAAACATGTCCTTTATTTCATTACTTTAGTACATGTGATCCTGAGAAAATTCATTTCACTTAAAGATTGCTATTAATGTAATACTTAAAACCATAGATTTTTGTGGGGAGTGAATTTCATGGTTTTCACATATTTTCACTGACACTTGATTTTGTGAATAAATCTCGCTCATTAAATCCACTAGTACTATAATCCACAACAACTTTAATCTGTCCATCACTTCATGGTCGTATGATTTAGTGTACCCATGAATTAAAAGAAAATAAATCTCCCACAAAAATGAATAGTTTTACAGTATCACAATTCAAATATCATTAAAAGCATTAGACATTAAGCATGTCCATCTAGGGTTTAATAGATAGTCATATACAAAATTCATTAGATTTCTGAAAGAAAGAGAAAGAATGTGTTATAAAGAGACACAGCTGTGGAAAATAACTGATGAATATTGTTTGGAGCAGTTGAATACGTAACAGCACACATTTATATGTATCATGTAACAAAATATAAATTCTTGTCCAGAACCTCATGCATTTGGTACATCACATGTACTTTTGTATGAAATTGATCTAAATCACTAATGTTTCATATACTAATTGTCATCAGTTAACAGAACCTCCAGCTAACTGAAAACACAATCCTAATGTTCCTAGAGTGTCAGTGAAGATGAAGAAACCATTCAAACGTGAGAAATCTTTCATGGTGTTCACTTTCTAAAAATTAGTTTGAGTTGTTTTCTGTTTTATTTTCACTTGTGTCTTCCTTTTTTTCTTCTTTTGCAAAAAACTGCTTTGCAACCTCCCCTATGTCGTTTTCTTTGAGGCCTAAATCGATGTACTGCAAAAAAGACAAAATCCAAAGTTACATGTTTCATCTGAAACAAATAGGTTTTTACTTAAAATTGTGATTAAACAGACTGTTGAAGGACACATATCAATGGAATTTTGTGGAGTACAGGAGAAATTCATGTTTTATAGGTAACTTTAGAAAAAGATAATTACTTTGAAATCAAACGAACTTGTTTCCACAATATACTATACTTGAGTTAAAATGAAACAAATGAACAATATCTGTCAGTAGTACAGTGTATACAATATTTAATGATGTAGAATAGAAGGTAGGACAAGGTAAGTTTGAGGAGAACTATGTCGGGGAAGGGAAGTCATTCCTAACAGCTTAGTAAACATTAACGATAAGACATTCAAGTGAAGACATTTTTGAAATACATCAAATGTGTAGGAGAGCAAATGGGGTGTAATCCAGTCAAAAAGGTCATTAGGAATGCATGTGCTAAATATGACATCATTTTCATAAAGGGTATAAGACATACTGATCTAGATCATAATTGAAATGGAGACTATGGGACATTTTTCCCAAATAAATGAAAACAAATGCAATAAAAGTATATACTGGTTCATGTAGTTAAGGCTGCCAAACAAAGAAGGGGACTCCTTGTTTTTACTCCATTTCTGATTACTTTTTTCGTCCATAACATCCAACAGCACTAGCTAATATTAACAAGTTTGACCAATATTGAAACTCACTTGAGATCTAAATATAAAGCAATACAAAATTTGATTCAAGTCTGGCATTAAAAATTAAGATACCTGACAGAAAAATCAGGAAATCATCTATTTTTACAAAGTCAAATCTTCACAGATTTTGACAAATATTGAATATAAAATTAATCTGAGATGTTACTGATAAAAAACATACAAATTTTGTTCAAATCATATCATAAAAGATTCAACATATTTTAAGTAATATTTTAAGTAATTACCTATTTTAAGGATTTCAAAGTCCAAAACTCTGGCAAATTTTGATGGATTTTGACCAATATTGAATTAACCCTTGATGTTATCAATATAAAGCAATACACCAAATTTGGTTAAAACTGGACAGTGACCCAATTAATTTGCCAGAAACGAAAAAAAAAAGATCTATTTGAAGGATTTCTAAGTTCTGTAACCCTGGCAAAAAATGACAGATTTCAGCCATAATTAAGCATTATACCAAATTTGGTCCAAATTAGACAATACAAATTGAAGTTATCTGACACAAACAAAAAATAATCTTTTTTCAGGATTTGAAGTCCTACATCTCTGGAAAATGTTGTTGGACATTGACTAATATCCACCCCATCCTTAAATGTAATATAAAGCAATATATAAAAAAAATGTACTAAATTTGGTTCAAACCTGCTGGAAAAATTGAAGTTATATGATGGAAATCCTCCTCCCTTCCCCACCAAATCTACCATCCTTGGGCAAAAAAACTTAATAATGAAAGATTTAAAAAAAAAAATCAAAGCAAATTTGAATCTTCCCCTTCTTTTTCAATGTTATACATTATATAAAACTCATCTCACCCTGCGTCCTAGATCTGTTTTATGTCTGATGTTTGTGGTGAGAATGCCAACAACTTCCTTTCCTTTTCTGTAGAATACAACTTTCCTGTTCTTGCCATCCTCAACATCCTGTTAACAAGCGATATGTTTAAACATGTATTAGATCCAATACATCAGTTTTAATGACGATACATTCTTATGGATAAGTCGCATAATATTAATACATTTCATTACATACAGTTTTTGGTGCTGAAAAGTTCAATTCATTGACAATGTGCTAAATTCACACCATTATAATATGCTTATCATTTTCACTATATATCATACCTATATTATCATATACATATCACATGTGTTGTTACCACCCATTACACCAAATGCAAAGATTCCCAAAAAAGCAACATCCTTTCTTATCATGTAAACCATCCATAGTTACCACATCGTTACTGATGCAACATGTAGGACTGTCGTGACACAGCCATCATTCCAGTAATGGAAGTCATGTGTACCGTTTCTTGCACTTTTCAAACAATGTCCTGTTACCCCAAACTCAATGATAAAACAGGTGTGTTCATTACCACAAAGGACACATGTAGTCACCACATGTCATCTTTACCTTAATAAGTTCACTAACGGTGGTAGTTTCCAGCTTAGAATCCACAAGGCCCACAGCCTCAAATAAAATATCACCAATGTCTGACCTGAAAAATAAATGTTACTGCCTATATCACCTATCATTAAACAGCAACTCAAATCTGCACCTTAACTTCTAAAAACTGTCATTCACAATTACGTTTATCTTCACTGTCAATAATGATTACAAAATAGGTAGACTACACAAATTGAATTAAAAATGCCATAAAAAAATTTGAAAGTTACATATTATACTTTATCATGAACACAATGTAAAGCAAGACATGTGTTACCCTCTGGAATAATGATAAGTTAGCAAAGGGAAACAGTGCCAGTCGACATAGTGCCCATGACCCTTATGATTGGGGAACATATGCTGTGAACAATGAAGGTGAGTGTACCAAAGTACAACTCAAATCCATTTTGTAGTTCAGATGAAATTTATTCTTGGGTAGGTTTCATCAGTAGTCTGTCAACAAGGTCAAGATGTAGATCAACTCTCAAGGTTCGCGAATGCTCACTTCCTAGATTCGCTCTCAAAGTTCTACCTCCGCTTTTCTAGTTTCACTCTCTTATTTTCTACTCTCTGTTCACTAATACAAGTTGCTTTTATTTCTAACCCATCCTCATATCTTTTGAAGCCAGTTTTACCCTTTGTAATTATTTATTGCCCCCTTAGAAATTCTGACCAGACAGCTCCCTTATTTCCTTATGTCCCTATTGATGGTTATCTCGCCCTGCCAAGACTGGTTAACCTTATGGCAGCGAACCTTTTAAGGTCTCAAACTTATATTATGTGATTATCTGTACATTCACAGATTTACTATGTTATATATCAAATTTAATCTAACAACCATTTCAGATGAGTGGAAAGGGTGCATTATTTTGAGAATATTTCTAAATAAAAGAATGATAAATAATTATGCCATTGAAAGAGCAAATACATGTAACTGACAGAAACTGAATCTAGTCCACATCTTCTATTTTCAATTTATCACAGACTCTATGTTGCATAAACACACTGTCTCTGAAACAGGTATTCATGAATAAGAAGTGCTATCATCAGAGGTCTGAAATACCTTGACATAATTTTCTATACACTTACCAAAATGAAGACTGATACGTATAGGACCGACCTCCTCCAGTCATATTTAGACCAGCTGTGCGACCACTTTGCTCAGCATTATCATAGTGTTCTATCCTTCGCCGACCAAGCCTCCTGTCATAGAAACAGGCGGCATCTCCAGCCTGTTTATAAACAATCAAAAACCATTATCAATTCTATCGAAGTTGAATATACTTAATGTAACCACTACAGTGCATTGTGGTCCAAGATAAATCAACAGTCCTTAACATATAATACATGCATACATATGTATAAAAGATCAAAGGGACATAACTCTTAATTGTAAGGTAGGTGACCAAATTTGAATATAAAATATGCCATATAAATACGATATCACACAAGAAAGTGCCAACAGGTAAGTAGCTGGTCATGATATATGCATGGCCCTATTCTAATGTCTGACTTTTTCTTATCCTAAGATGAAACTGTCATGCAATATTTTGTATTGTGAAGAGTACATGACAAGTACATGACACATGTTCCTGGCAGGGTAATGACCAGAACTACAGATACACAGGCCATCATATATAATGATATAGTGAAAACCTACAGCTTCACTATGTTGTACTACCTACCACCCATATATTGCTCCTGGCCTCCAACTCAGAGTTGACCAAGAAACCACCAAGATTACTGTCCACCTCCAAACCTGATGCTTCTGCTAAATCCACATTAGGCTCCAGTCCCACTGCTACAACAACATGGTCTGCTTTTATCTGCAAATTAATACATACAAGTTGTATATAAAGAGGATCTGATTGTTGTGCGTATGTCACAAGAAATATTCTGAAATGAAATCCTTCAACTCGATATGACATGTGCACAATTATATATATATATGTAATTCATTACAGTCAAATAAAAAATATATGAATACCATCAGTCAAAGCCCCAATATACACAATTTTGCAAAATTATTCAGAAAGATTCAGAAAGTTTCTGAGAAAACCTCCACTCAATAATTGATATCTATGCAAAAAAAATTATTAAAGCATACTTAAGTAAACTGGTGTCTGTTAAGATGCACTTTATGGCGATATCGAAACAAGAAGCCTGCATTGCCCATCTGGTATTTAAAATACTTTGGAAATAATTTCCCAATTTGGTTCCAGCCTTGTGATCAAACATAAAATTTGCTTCAAACCAAACGTGGACAGTATCCATGTACAGAAGAAGGATTTTCAATAATTAACATTTCACCAGCTGGGACCCACCCCTTCCATCAAAAAGGCCTGGATGAACTGTTTATGCAGAACTTATTACCCTTCATCTAAGAATACTTCAGACCAAATTTGTGAAAAATCCAATCATTCCTACAGGAGTAGAATATTAAAAAATCTATTCTATTTCCCTTGTTGGGCCATGCCCCTCCCACCCAAGGGAGCCAAGACCCACCATTTATACCAAATAAATTATAATGGAGGCATGAGTGATTTTTAACAGCATCTATACTACAAACACATAATACTGTCTTGAGTATTTCTCAGATCAGTTTAATTCCTTATTTCAAGATAATTTTTTCCATTTTTCTTCTTCTATTTTTTTAGTGAAAGTTACATATGTACTACATGGATGCTTTAAGTTCCCTGCAATCAAATTTTTATTCATTGTTCAAATCAGAAAAAACAGTTTGATTGCATTTAATGATGATGAGGCAATAGTAATTTCAAGTGTTAAATTATTCTCCATTCTGTCTAAAGTAAATCCAAATCTCTGTAATCTTAACTTCTTTACAAACCCAAATTGTTTGGTCCAATGACATCCAGTTCTCTATAGAGAATCAACTTTAGTAGGATATCTATCAAAGGTAACATTAACACTGGTACATTGTACTTAGAAAAGTATAAAATAATTTAATTGAATTGGAGGACTTACCTCAGTATTGTCATTAAGGTTGAGTACCACTTTATTATCCTTGAATGCTACAGAGCTAACTGTCCTTTCACTCAACACCTTTACTCCTTCTGGAAACAGCACAAAAACACTCAAATATAGTCAAGCTGATCTATGGGCCACTCAAGAAAGCGAGGAAAGTGGTCTTTATAGACAGGTGTATAGTCTACTGAAATGCCAAAAGTCTGTAATAGTTGACTTAGTTCAATTACTATGAATTGTATTACACTGGGATCCAGAACCTGTGACCTTTACAGAGAGGTCATTGTTATACAGAGGTGGCCTTCAAATTCAGTTGAACTGTTTGTAGACTAGCTTCTTCACTTCCCACCTCTGTGCTGATCCCAGCTTCCTTTAAAGTGTAAGATTGGTAATGGATCTGCTCATCCTGTATACAACACTAATTTCCAAAATCCCTCCCATCAATTTGAAAGGAACTGTCCATACTAATCCAGCTCAGCTTATTAAATGTAATTGTAAACAATTACCTCCCCTTAAGACAATGACCCAATGTATTCAGTATACACAGTATATGTATCTAGCTTTATACAATCACCTCTCCCTTAAAAATCAAAATCATAGACAAAAGTTATTCTGGTATTCCGCTTTTGTCAATGTGCCAAAACTCCGTAATTGCGTTCAGTTCATACATATGTAATTATAACACATACTCGCCAACAAAAAATTCTCCTAGTTTAATTCAATAAGTTAACTTACCTCCATTTTTTCCTCAGAGAACAGCCATTTTACCGAACGGACTCATCCTTCATTTATATGGGAACCAGTGACCCAGAGACCTCATTTTATTTGACTTTGATACAACACTTGATCCTCTAGTATAATTCTAATTTTCTGTTTATGATACTAATAAACCTCAAGCTTACATCAAGGCTGTGACTTACCTTTATAAAAATTAGAGCAATTATTTGACCTTTAACCTAGAGATGGAAGTTCAGTGATGACCTTACCTGACTCCACATGTGATGTCAACCATCTACATACTTGTTCAGGCAGCACTAATCCAAGGTTGCCTGGCAACAAGAAATTAGCAAAAAGTAGCAAACAATTAATATCTGTAAATTTTGATTCAAATATATATAATAACCATAAATAAGAGTATCAGTGAAAAAGATGAATGCTCTCCGAAAATGACTTATTGGACACAATTTCAGAGAACAAAAAAATCTTAGATTATAAACAGGAATGCCTTGGTAGTCGTTGATGTATTGTGAGTAGAAAAGCATTCTAAGAAGTACAGTATAATTGGTACATATTCTTGTAACATTCAAGACTATAATTAAAGAACATACTTGTACATTCTACATGAAGTAAATACTTGATTACAAAGTCATCTACTAGGCTCTCAGAATACCTGGAAACACACCTTGTAGATAAGGAATATAGATATTCATTTAATATCAAGTTCTTACCACGCTCAGGGAAAATTTGGGTTACAGCTAAACCTGTTTCATCCTGGATGGCTGCAATCACAAAAAAAATTACATTGTATTAGAATTTTTTGTGAGGGAAACGGAAATCTGATATAATATTTTCTTTCTTTTTCATTTGTCAGTGACAAACACAGGTGTACATCTGCCTTGAAGAAATGAGGAGCCTCTTGGGAAGCCACCAATTCCAATCAACAATCTTTCCTATATAAGTATACCTACAGCTCCTGACCACTTTCTTTCATGTACAGGGAATCCACCAGCTCCCAAACATCTATCTCTGATGTACAGGGAAGCTACCAGCTCCCAAACTACTATCTATGGTGTACAGGGAATCCACCAGCTCCCAAACTACTATCTATGGTGTACAGGGGAGCTACCAGCTCCCAAACAACTATCTCTGATGTACAGGGAAGCCACCAGCTCCCAAACAACTATCTCTGATGTACAGGGAAGCCACCAGCTCCCAAACTACTATCTATGATGTACAGGGAATCCACCAGCTCCCAAACTACTATCTCTGATGTACAGGGAAGCCACCAGCTCCCAAACTACTATCTATGATGTACAGGGAATCCACCAGCTCCCAAACTACTATCTCTGATGTACAGGGAATCCACCAGCTCCCAAACTATTATCTATGGTGTACAGGGAATCCACCAGCTCCCAAACTACTATCTATGGTGTACAGGGAATCCACCAGCTCCCAAACTACTATCTATGGTGTACAGGGGAGCTACCAGCTTCTAAACAACTATCTATGGTGTACAGGGAAGCCACCAGCTCCCAAACAACTATCTCTGATGTACAGGGAAGCCACCAGCTCCCAAACTACTATCTATGATGTACAGGGAATCCACCAGCTCCCAAACTACTATCTCTGATGTACAGGGAATCCACCAGCTCCCACACTACCATCTATGGTGTACAGGGGAGCTACCAGCTTCTAAACAACTATCTATGGTGTTCCTGGAAGCCACCAGCTCCCAAAAAACTATCTATGATGTACTGGGAAGCCACCAGCTCCAAATCTACTATCTCTGATATACATAGAAACCTCAAGCTTTGAAACAACTTTCCATGATCACTACCATCTGATGTACAGAGATATCACCAGTAGCTAACCACTACTTCTGACTACAGAGATATCACCAGCAGCTGACCACTACTTCTGACTACAGGGATATCACCAGCAGCTGACCACTACTTCTGACTACAGGGATATCACCAGCAGCTGACCACTACTTCTAACTACAGGGCTATCATCAGCTGACCACTACTTCTGACTACAGGGATATCATCAGCTGACCACTACTTCTGACTACATGGATATCACCAGCAGCTGACCACTACTTCTGACTACAGGGATATCACCAGCAGCTGACCACTACTTCTGACTACAGGGATATCACCAGCAGCTGACCACTACTTCTGACTACAGGGATATCACCAGCAGCTGACCACTACTTCTGACTACAGGGATATCACCAGCAGCTGACCACTACTTCTGACTACAGGGATATCACCAGCAGCTGACCACTACTTCTGACTACATGGATATCATCAGCAGCTGACCACTACTTCTGACTACATGGATATCATCAGCAGCTGACCACTACTTCTGACTACAGGGATATCATCAGCTGACCACTACTTCTGACTACATGGATATCACCAGCAGCTGACCACTACTTCTGACTACATGGATATCACCAGCAGCTGACCACTACTTCTGACTACAGGGATATCATCAGCTGACCACTACTTCTGACTACAGGGATATCACCAGCAGCTGACCACTACTTCTGACTACAGGGATATCACCAGCAGCTGACCACTACATGTGATTCTGACCAAATGCATTTACCTCTGTTTTGCATTGATACTGCCAGCTCACTGCCCAGAAATCCTCCACCTATAACTGCAACTGACTTCGCTGATGAGGTTATAGAATACAGTTTATTGAAGTCATCAGCCTGTAAAATTGAGATCAAGTGATTAAAATCTGAGAGTGCTACATTTTCATTTTTTCTTTTAATCTTTCATATTTGTGATGAAAATATTGTACCATCAATTTTGAATAGACTTATAAACAAGACAGTCTGCTGATTAAATCAAATGTTGGCAGAGTTCTTTCTAATCCAAACAAAATTGAGATCAATATGAGGAAGATTCATACAACATCTTATGTATTAGAGTATAGAGCTTTGATATTTCTTATTTCACGACAATTCCCGATTATAATCCGGACTGGTGACTAATGCATATTCTTCAATAATAATTCCTATGTCGTAATATTGATTTACATTCAAGTAATAACTGTGACTCCATGAATACAGGATATCACACAATCATGTTGGTAGTGAAAAATGCACAGTCTGAACCAAAATTTAACTCTTGTGGGAAAACTATTTGTTTCTTTTCTCTCCATAAAAGAATCCTACTTTGGTGTCAGGGTCCAATTGCATTTGGGATGCACTAGGCAATTACAAAAACAGACTTCCTTTGACCAATCCTAGACCTTAATTTTTTAGTGTGTCAATCTATTGTTTGGGAGTCGCAAGATTTAAAAAGTTGGCCATTAGGGCAGTGACGATGTTTACATAACATGTCTAAGTGACATATGACCTTCCAGGCATGAATCCTGTCCTCACTACCTATGATTTACCTGTGGTTTTTTTTGCTTTGTTTTTGTGATATTAAGCATTGCTTATGTAAACCTTGTAAAATACTAGCCGCAATATACCACTCGGCTAGAGAGAACTTCTCTTTAGCTCGACTGGTTGAGCGTCAGACTAGTAAGCAAGGGGTCCTGGGTTCAATTCCTAGTGGAGGCATTAAAATAAATAATGACCTCTGTTACACTGGCGCCCATGTAGGAACCTGTGAATAGTACTTAGCCATGCTCCACCAGCATTGTTGTAACCCCTGAAAACTCGAGGAGGAGTTATTTCCTGGAGGGGGATTATGCAACCCTGGTAAAATACTAGCTGCAATATACCACTTAGCTAGAGAGAAATTCTCTTTTAACTCGATTGGTTGAGCGTCAGACTAGTAAGCCAGGGGTCTCAGGTTTGATTCCTATTGGTGGCATTGAAATAAATAATGACCTTCTACACTTGCATGAAAATAAGTGACATTATCAGACAACATGTTACATAGAATACATAGGGAAAAAAATTTGTGTTTCAAGAAAATGTGGTTCATAGACATTAAGAAGATTCCACTGCATTGCATTGGATTTACTTGCAGACTTATTGAGTAACTTTGCTTTTTTAATAATTACAACCAAAGATATACCTAACATGGTCTCTCATGAAACATGCATAAATACCACTGCTCTCATGCAGATAGATATTAATTAAAGTTAGACAAATTTCTATAAATAGTAACAGTGACCTTGACCTTGATATTTGAACTCTGACACTCATCTGAGGTATTGTAAGTTATAATTATTCTTTGCTTATATGTGCAGTTTAATTGTTATCATTTAGGAAATGAAATCAATAGAGTAACAATGTGGACCATAAGGTGGTGAAGACAGTAAGTAGTTTAGAATAAAACACTGCTAGACTCACTGTCCGAAATACAGTCACATGGTCTTGAACTTGTTTTGATGCTTCTTTAAACACACTCAGATTCCTTGGTTTACCACCTGAAAAAACGAAGGGTAGGCATACTGTACTTTCCTGTTGGTAGAAAACTCAGTGTCTATCATATAACCTCTATCTCAAAATAAGAAGGTGGACTTATAACCTGATAACAGTACAATGAAATAAAATTTTCTTTAAACTCCAGCTACTGCTAACAACTTATTACAATGTACCAAGAAGGAGTTGATTGCCTGCTATTATAATAGTAGTTTCAAGAAACTAAGGTAATAGAAGATGATTTTATGCAACTACATGAACCTTTTAAAAAATATGTACCTTCAGTCTTCATTTTACCTTTACACAGGATGTAAAAGCATGGAATACATAAAAGATAACATTTGCAATACATGTACTTGTACTTACCTGTAGCTATAAGGCATTTGTCAAAGCTTGTACTTACCTGTAGCTATAAGACATTTGTCAAAGCTTGTACTTACCTGTAGCTATGAGACATTTGTCAAAGCTTGTACTTACCTGTAGCTATAAGACATTTGTCAAAGCTTGTACCTACCTGTAGCTATAAGACATTTGTCAAAGCTTGTACTTACCTGAAGCTATAAGACATTTGTCAAAGCTTGTACTTACTTGTAGCTATAAGGCATTTGTCAAAGCTTGTACATACCTGTAGCTATGAGACATTTGTCAAAGCTTGTACTTACCTGTAACTATAAGACATTTGTCAAAGCATGTACTTACCTGTAGCTATAAGACACTCGTCAAAGCTTGTACTTACCTGTAGCTATAAGACATTTGTCAAAGCTTGTACTTACCTGTAGCTATAAGACATTTGTCAAAGCTGATTGTTTTTCCACACTCCACATGTACTTTCTTATTATCTGCATCTAATTTTACTACCTAAAAATTACAAAATTAAAAACATCGTGTAGAAATTGTGGACAACTGATATTTGTTTAACTCCTTCATAAACAGGGTACACATTCATTTCACAGTGTATAACCATGTGAAATATCAGAGATTAAGGCCAGCTTATGAAGCAAAAGTAGCCCTAATGGGATCAGATGTAGTACATATACAAAATTATCTTTCTTCACCCATGGATGCTTCAGACCAAATTGAAACAAAAATCAATCATCCCTGAAGAATAAGAACAATTTGAAATATTTGCTGTATTCCTTTGTCTTGCCCTGCCCCTACTGCTCCTGGAGTCTGATACCTACCATTTATATAAAGTAAAATGATTCCCCTACACCATCGCATGCATCAGATCAAACTTTGACAGAATCCGGACATTGTTACAGAAGAAGGATCATTTGCTCTATTCCCCTTAATGGACTCTGCTCCTACTGTCTCAGGGAGTGAAGACCAAACATTTATACAAAATTGATTCCCCCTTCACCCTTGCATGCTTCAGACCAAATAAGGACAGAATCCTCACATTCTGAATGATTTTGAAGAATTTGCTCTTTTTCCCCTATTGGTTCCTGCCTCTCCTGCCCCAGAAAGTTAAGACCCACAATTCATACAAGATTGATTCCCATCCACCCAAGGATTCTTTAGACCAAATTGGGACAGAATCCATGCATTCCTACACCAGAAGAAGGATTTTAAAGAATTAACTCTATGTCCCCTATTTGGCCATGCCCCTCATTTACTAACATTTACACAAAATTGAGTTCCCTACCTCCAAAATTGCTTCTGACCAAATTTGGTCACAATCTGCTTAGTCATTTAGAAAAAGTAGTGTTATAAAGAAATTAATAACAACACAACGGAGCAGCATAAATGTCAATACATCAATTTTATGATTAGTAAACTCAGATTAGACCTTGGGATATCAAACTATGTATACATAGTTAAATTATATATAAATCCCATGTTATTCCAATAACTGTTGTTTGTGTAATCGATATCTTCAAGCCAATTCTTTAAAGAAATTAAGTCATCAGGCAGATGATACCGATTTTGGTTGAGATCAAAGACATACTTTTTCTATCCCGTTCAATTAAAACAGCAGGCACGTAAAAATTACAAACCTGTTGGCCGCCTATAACACAAACACCTCCATTTTCGTTTTCCATAAGCTCCTCTGCTGTGAAGTAATAGCTCTCATTCTCAAAGTAAATACTGCAACAAGATGAATATTATTATGAAAAGAGGATTTATTGATAACCTTGGGCACGTCCCTATCTCCTCAATCCCCTACATCCCTACCTCCTGGTTAGCTCATTGACATACATAGAGGATAGAGAATATTCACTGTTTCTTTATGAATAACAGAAATATTTCAATGATTGAGGTCCAAGTTTGATATGTTTTCACGAATACGCAGCAAAACTGAAAAAATAACAAAATTTCCTCCCCACTACATGTAACCTAACTTTTGTTCATTGAAAACAGAGAATATTCTATCTTTTTATATTTTTTTATGTCTTCAGTGATAAGTTTGAATTTGCCAAACTCATTTGAATTTGGGTGCTCTATTATCATCACCAGATAATTGTTTCACATCTTCAAATTATTTAAAATCACGTCAGAATTTTATAAGACATACGAAACACTCTAATGACTGAAATTAAAATTGACTAAGGCTGATGTATCACAAATGAATCAAATATGAAATATACATATTCAAATATAAAAATATATATATCACTGATACTCTGGTCCTCTAACTCTTCTCACAGGATATACATACCCCTACCTTCTAGTCCTCTCATTGATATATACACCCCTACCTCCTGGACCCCTCACTTATATACACACCACTATTTTCAGGTTCCTTCAATGATATATATATAGCCCATCATCTTAGTCCTCTCTCCAACATGATGCATAATTACCTTCTTGACCCCACAGGATGGTCTTGATTCATCCACTCTTTAATCTTCTCTGGAGATAAGTACCACAAATATTTAGACAGATAAGGACGACTGTAAGGTATATGTTTTTCCTTCCCAAGGATCCATACCTACAAAAATAAGTGAATTTGAAATAGTGTTTACAAACTAACGGCTCATCTAAGGATAGCAATCTCTAATTAATCAAAAAGCTGAACATATCTGGACAGCAAGCTTCAAGCAAGGGACCTTGAACATTGTGTAAATACTGCAGATAAATCTCCCTCATTGTAATTTTAAATATCTGACATATAAAAAAGGGAATTATAAAGTGATCATTTGATGTATATTTCATCAAGAATACCTAAGATGAGAGGTGACATCAATGTTAACATGGTTTATCATTTTTGTTTTACTCATTTTTGTTTTGTTCTAAGTTTATATGTTTCATGTCCAAGTTCTCACACACCTATATCCTGATTTTAGACATGAAATGCAACATCAATTAAAAATTTCACATCCTTATTTGAATATCACACTCTGATCCAGATTACAGTTTCTCCTTCCTTGCTGTAAAGCTAACAGGCTATGATAATTGATTTCTTACCTTAGCCTTAGGGTCTCTGGCTTTTATCTCTTGATAAGCTGTAAAAGCAGTTGTACCAGCACCAATGATGAGATACTGAGCGTGGTCGGGTAAGACGGGTGGTGGTAATTCCACCTCCACCTCCACCTCTTTAGTTTCTTTAGCTATAAAGTATAGGCAAAAGTGAAATCATTGTAGGTAGTTTACAGGGCTGAGAAATATTAAGAATTTTAAAAAAAATCATTCGTTTCAGACTACCAGACTATCCCTGAAGGTCAATTTGAGATTCTTGACATGTTGTGCTTAAATTATTTGTTAGTCAAAAGAGGTAACATATGTGAAAGTTTCATGAAAAATCTGGCCACACATTTTCTAGTAATACGGCAATGCAGCAATCACCAAGTTACCAAGGATTTGACTAATGAGTAACATCATAAAAATGATATCTCATGGTCAGCCAGGTGTATTTACACTGTGACAATATGTTTAAAGCAATGTATTTGAATTTTTATCTTTCAAAACTAAATATCACTTTGTTATTAAAATAATAAAATTCAAATTTGAATATATCACAGACTTCCATGTAAAATGAAAGTTCAGCAGATCAGGAAAGAAACCCAAATCCATGATAAGGGAATGTTACTAATCAAAACTGGGGTATGCCATAAACAGAGTAACTTTTTTATTATAATTATACATAGATATTAATTTGATTCATCCTACAAAATGATCATTCAAAACCAAGAATGTTGGTATCCGTGTTTTAGGAAATGAAATTGCACCAAAAATAGTCCAGAAGCGATCAAGACAAACATAGTTAATATAAGATATTCACTAGTTTACACTGAAAGTGAAATTACCTTCATCTTGAGATTCAGATTTTCCATCTGGTAAATCCTGCTTTTTCTGTTTGAAGTAGACAAAAATCTGTAAAGAAATAAAACAGAAAAATCAACAGAATGTTTGCTGTGTAATATACAAATAACAATGTTTCTTATGCCAGAAATATTTTTACCCAATATGTGTAGAATGTCTGATTATAAACAGAATTCCTTGCAGATGAAGACCAGACCTTTCTATCTGTGTGTGGCATGCATATTTCTTTCAATAATTGTCTTCTAAATGCTGATCCTGGCATGGGTTGCTCATTTTCTTTTCTTTTGGGGGCTCAAATTCTGGCATTCAGTGTCACTTGATTGATATCAAAAGTCCATAGAACATCACAATAATTAAGACTTTTTAAAAAGTAATCATAAACTAGTTCAAAGCACTGATATATATATAACCTAATTTAACCTTCAAGTAATGATAATCAAAACTCATTATCTTCTTCATTGTTCACATACATCATGTAAAACACTAAACCAACAAATACCTAAGATTTCAAAATGAATATAATTATAACTTCATGTTATTTACCCCTGCTGTGACCCCTACAAACACACCAAGAGCAGGTAAAGATAACTGTTTGGGTGGATTTGGTGCACTTGACATCCATCTTTTGGGGATCAGCTGTTTTTTACCTATACAACAATAAGAAAATATAATAAATATTAATCAACAAATACAAAACCAAACATCAGAACATTTATATTTTATGTAAAATTAATATTTTTCGTAATTAATAATTTCACATACTTTGACAGATAATATGCGTCTATTATAGGAGTCATTGTAAGACTTTCAAGGTGAATTTTCTCTCTCTTAAATTATAATTTAATGTCAATATTCATATTTATTGTGCTATTGCTAATATTGACATTTCCACTGTTATAAAATAAACACAATAATTAAAACTGTATAGCTTAATAACAGCATAATAAATGTGAATATTGACATTGAATTATCATATTAAGAGAAAAACATTTTCAGTCCGGTGTCAGGACTACAGGGAAATAAAGTGTTTCTTATAGCGTCAGTAAAGCAGTTCAAAATTATCAGAAACACTGATGATGATTGAGAAATCACAATTTGTACAAACAACATGGTCTATTGATTCGTGGTGCACTCTATACCGACAATGAATTCGCCGAATATACCCAACACAGCATGGACTTTACTGCGTGCATATTTCTTACTGATTTTACTTAGGTGAGAGTTCTTCGGTATTGCTGAAAGTGCTCTCGAAAACACACAAGTTCCTCGTACGGGAAGTGTCACTATTCGATTCATTGTGTATGTTATTGCTGAAGTGTTTCCATTAACTTGCACTGATCAACGTGCAACCTTCGCCCGGCGAGAGACAAACAAATGAGTTCTGAAAAGGGAAGTAACTATTAGCATGATGATTGCACGACGCAATAATAGTAGGGTATTACCAGATTTTTTTGTGGAGTGAAACAAATTAACGGTATCCACTTTCCGCTTTCATTTTTAGCATTTATCTATTACCTGTCGTCTGTTTGTGGACACAAAAAGGTTATAGAATCAATAAAAACGACATGGAAAAGTTTTTAAAATATTTTTTTTGTTCCATAAAAATCATGTACTTGGGGCAAAATGTTCAGAAGGGTGGTTAGAGAATATCTCCGGTCAGCTGATCTCTAAATGCTTCAAATGCTGTAACTGTCAACACTGATGTTCACAAAAAAGACTTGTAAGTAAAAATTTTATACACAAACTCCTGAAAGTACCAGAAGATTAAGACCATGTGTTCTGGAAGAGTATGTGTTTTCTGATTCATCCAAGGCACCTGCCATGTACTGTAAACCTTGGCCAATCCAAATAAGTTTGGTAATATCACATTATAAAATGAACAGGCAAACTAAAGAGTATCAATCACGTCCAGCTTCTTCAAACAAAGGATAGAGCTTTTGGCATTCCTGCACAATAAGACGCAGTTCACACACATAAGATATATGTGCATAACATTGCATTGGGCACGATGCTTACCAGTAGAAGAACTCCACATCCCCTACTAGGCATTGGGCACAGCCTTTACATATAAATACTGGATCATGAGAGACCTTTTAACTAGATTCTATAGATAAATATGGACCTAGTTGTCTCAGTTTGTACTGAATATTGACCTAACCCTCTAAAATGCCTTCTTCATATAGCCACGATGGTCAATGTTCACAGTGACCGTCGTTACATAGCTGCAAGATTTTTAGGATTTCTGATAATATGACAGTGACTTCTATCTTCCTTATTTGTTGCAAAATTGTACTAGAGTAATTGTTTCCTTTCTGAAATTTTATTGTGCCACATTTTACGAAATCTGTGTTTTATGTCTTTTATATGCTCTTTGCCATGCAGTGCGTCCACAATTCAGACAGGCCGCGATAGCTCAGTCGATTTTGACATAGCAACGTTACCATTGGACGCTCCCTGTCACTCATGGGCGAGACACTTTACACAAAATGCTCCTGTGGATGACATGTGATAGACTCCCTGTAAATTGTTCAGTGAGGTTGCTCTCAGCCTCTACAAAGACACTCAGAATGGGCGATACACAGCAAGCCATTAGACAATGTAAAGTTTGTGGTTGAACATTTATTTCATTCCTATTAGCCTCTACCTGTTTTCTGTGTCCTCAGTTGGTATTTCCAAAAAATATTACCATCACCTTTTCACTTTCCCTTTAACAATATTTACTCGTCTATTGCCTGACTTCATTGACCTACATTTTACCACAAACAATCTGTTCACTTCCACGGTCCTAGAATATAATGCGCTGCTGTGTCCAGTTTAGTCCGCAATCAGGTCGGAAAATCTATCTGTAATTTGATTTTGGCTTGGTCAGGGTTGATACCAACCAGTTAAAGGAACCCTGTGTGTAGATAGTTATATCCATTCAGACAATGCCCTGTTATAGAATCTTAACTTTTCGGAAGCCATGGTTTTTTTTATTATTAATGGTCATGATCTAGGTAATAGCGGGGAACTTCAGGAAGAGCGTTTTCATTTTGTTTCTAGGATCAACAGGAATGTGTCGCCCAAATTTTGACACCCCAAGGGCTAGTGCACCAGGTAACAGACTCGTCTGCTGGCCAAAGGAAAAATACGAGCTTATGCTCGTGATGTAAGCATGTGTTCGGTCGTCCAAGACATTTGTAAAGTGCCATAACCCCCAATATGTTGAAGATGGATAATCAAAATTTTATCCATAGCGATGACTGTATGAAGGAAAGACGATGCCAAAGCTATTATTTGAATTAAACATTCACTGAAATTCATTGCCCTGGCAATAACTTTTCACTCATAAGATATATTAAAAAGAAATCAACCACACAAAACATGTATTTTTCTCACTGTATTGATTTAAATATTGAAAATATCATATCAAACAAAAGAGTTAAAACATAACCGCTTTCATTTTAAATATTCAGATGCTTAATCATCTGCAGAATTGGATATGAAAGTGCTTATGCACTGGTGTGTCACGTGTAATCCATCTAGCAAAGGAGGTCAAATTAATTTCCAGGGCTATGACTTTTTATTATTTAGGTATATGTAGGTTATGGACTTGTTAAATACACTGTCAAGCGTGTGCTAGTGTCCTCTATTATATCAAGAGGTATTTAATAAAAATTAACAGAAAAAAAATTATCTCTTTTCAGTGAGTCTGACTGTTTATTTTTCGAAGTTTTCTAATGGATTCAGTATTGATCCATATGAAAAATGTGAAGGAAGTGTTTCCCGCTGACATGCTTTCATTGTCAACCCACTAGACCCTGTAAAATACCCTATCATAACTCCAGATATCTTTATTATTAACCCAGTATTAAGCCATCAATAAAAAATCTTTGTACGTGTACATGCTGACAACAGAATACCCAAATATCAATGGACTCTCCACAAATCCAACAAATAGCGCTACACTTCACATGTTGACAAAAATATATAAATTTATAGAAATGAAGGACCAGTTTATGTGAGGATATCCATTCCCATTTCACCTAGAAGTTTTGTATTTCTTCCAGTGGATACTCAAAATTCACAGCCAGTGCAAAACAAATACCACATTATTTTTTTTTGCATGTAAGAGTTATCCCCCTTCGGAATTGTGCAATTTATTTATTTTATTCATTATTTTTGACAATCAGGAGACAATTAGAACTCTAACTGATACAACCAACACAATTCAACTTGTCTTTCACCCAGTAATGCAATTTTTTAAAGTACAGTGAAAACTTCTATCTTGAAAATTAAATTCTTTTTTCAACTATTTACCCACTGCAGTTAAAGATAAAGAATTAATTAAAATATAGAGAAATTAACAAGAATTTTGGTAATTCATGATTGCTTTTATTCTAATTAAGGAATCAGATACTATCTGTACAGGATAGTACTATTATTATTTTTCATGACTTTGCCATGAAAACAACCAGATACATTATATTTCTAAAATTTGCGAATTTTAACTGAAGATTTTAATTCATATCTAATTAAAGAAATTTGACATCGCCAACCCTGAAAGGAGACAATTATGCATAAATTATTAATTCTGGTAACAGAATGATATATTAATTGGAATTAATCTTTGAAAACTTAACAAATGATATTTTTGTCATTGTTAGTGAGTAGATCTTGTACGGTATTGATAACTCAGAGAGCAGTTTGGTACTGTAGAGAGATACTAACAGTCCGAGATCTGCTTTCACTCACAACCATTATTAATGGAAACTGAATCTTCCAATATAACACCTTTATCAGATCTTTTTACACTGGCATGGATCAAATTAACAAATAATCACCAACTGGAAATGGTTGAGTGATTCAATCAATGCTTTTGAAACAAGAGGCCCAAGGGCCTTGTAACATGTGATAGAAATGATTTAGTTAAAATATGTAATATAACTTTAACTATATTGTACACATAATGCAAATTTAAATTGTGTATACATTAATTGTTGTCCCAAGCTAAGGCTTCAAACCAAGTGTGAATTAAAAGAAATTTTGCTCAAGATTGGAATTTTCCTATATAAAATCTTCCATCCAGGAACACTAGAACCACTTTTGGCCCCACCCATCAGCCCCTGGAAGTCAGTCAAACTCAATATGTGCATCTGATCAAAGTCAGCTTATGCCAATAAAAAATAAATTCTAACCAAATTTGAACTATTTCTGAAAGAAAATAAATTATGCTCAAAAATGTAATTTTCCTATATAACATAAAGTAAACTTTACCCCCTCCCCTGGGGGAAATGCGAGACCCTGGGTTCATGAAATTTACAAATTAGTAAAACATCTTAAAGCCTTTTGATCCATGAAGAGTACTCGATTCTACCATACCTGAAATTTGACCCATTTTTGGCCTTGCCCAACAGCCCCTTGGGGTTGGGGACCATATCATTTACAATTTTTGTGCACCTTAAGCCATGGAATATTTCTGTAAAATTTCCTTGAAATTGGTCCAGAAGAAGTCGAAAATATTAAAAGTTTATGACGCATGATGCCACACAAAAGAAGGATCACAATAGGTCACCCTGAGACTTTGTCTGGATTTGGATTTGTAGACTTCACATTTGTGTGATGAGGGTATATAAATATTACTAATTCGATAATGCTATTCTATCTCACAAACTCAAACAATGAAAAATTTGCATATTTTCATGATTGAAGTTGAAATAAAAATATATGGTATGATTCTTGATTAAAAAAATTCCAGTAAATTTCAAAATTCACATACATACATGTACATACTATGTCTACAGCAGTTATGTTCAAACCAAATCCTGCACTGTATGACCCTTTAGGGACATGAAACAAATCAGCACACATGTATCTTATTTGCATCCATATTAAAAAAAAAAAAAATGGACAATCTTCTGAAAATGACACTGTTATACTTAATATCATGTTATTTTGGAACATTTTCTTCAGGTTGGTAATGTCAATAGAATAGGAGTTCTTATATCACAACCAGTAGATGATGTTTCAATGACTACATGGTCACATTCATCAGACAAATGACCCGTGTGGAGTGTACATGCAACTAACGTAATTAGTGTTTGGAATCGACCGACTGTTTCCAGGGTACTATAATACTATCCCATTCCATACACTATGTACATCAGTGCTAGTACACTCCACTCTGGTCATTTGTCTGATGAAGGTGACCATGTAGTCTTTGAAACATCACACTCTAATGTTCTACTGGTTGTGTTATATGAACTTCTATTCTATTACTTTCATGTTGTATTTACAGAGCATGTGTTTGGACACTCATACCTGCTATTAAATAATAAAAAATAAAATTCCTAATCAACTATACACTACACTATAGAGTGGATTATTAGGTTTTTACTCTGAAAGGCATTTCACAAACAGGGTAAACCTACACCAGCATATATCAATCTATGTGTACATAAATCCCCATCTGCAACTCACAACCACCTTTAAGTTACACATGCTTTGTGAAATGGGTTGTAACTCTAATGCATGGCCTACATATGAATGTACAACCACTCTTTAAGTTGTACCCTGTTTGTGAAACAGATCCCTTGCTATTACACACCAGATTCAAGTGCCTGTGATACTAAACTATACCAAAACTTCTGAAAAATATTGCCAGGAATATCAGTTACATAGGAAACTGACATGGGTTCAAGTTTCATTAACCATCTCAGATTATCATGTGTGTGAATGTTATGGACAGAATTAATGATTAATTAGAATCTGATTTCAATTAGATGAAGGTATACACCACATACACTCGCATGACATTACCGAAGTCGGTACAAAAGATAACATAATCTGTAACATCCCATTTACATCAGCTATTGCTCTGTGCATCTATCTCGCTCTCTCATTTTTGCCATCTCTCTCCATCTCACAAACAAACATCCCACTATCACAGTTTACTCTTTTTTCACTTTGGTATTAATTTTCCATGCCCCTATGATGTAACGTAGACGTATCAGAAGCAGATCTTTGCCCATTTGTAGCCAGCTCCACACTGGAATCATCTTTGATCCTGTAACGAAATTTATATATAGAACAGAAATTACTTACTATATACACTACATGACTGTATATTTAAAAACTTTAATTTAAACAGTCAAAATAAATTCTAAACTCATGCAGCTTTAGTTCATCTTCTTTGATATATATTCAGTGCTGTACGAATCTTCATCATCAATTTCATGCACAATTGCATTTCTGATAAAATAAGAATATCAGTGAAATGATGAATGCTCCCTAAAAACAATTAAATTATTGGAAACAGAATTTTACCAAAAGGCAATTAAGGGCCTGCAGGCCCTGACTTTGGTATGCAGGCAGTTTGCTACATCGCAAAATATTTAAGTACCAGGTAAACCAAATATGTACATTAAATATCTTTATCATAGTACAAATACTAGTAAAGTTATGCTTCAAATTAGAAATTTTAACAAAGGGCAATAACTCTGTTGCATTTGAATTTTGTTAAATTCACATGTCCATGAAAATAAACCTGGATTTCAGTACGTGTGAATTTTTTGAGCAACATCTTTCCATGAAATGAAATGCCAACACCAACGAAAATTGAAATTTTTGGAAAACAACGAAATTTGAGCCCCATGAAAATACATGATTTTACAGTAAATCATTAAATCTCATCCTTATGTTTCCAGCTAATCTCAGTTTCATTGATAACCTACCTTCTATCTCCTGCCATGTAATGGCTACTTCTGCTATTCTCATGTTGAAGCGCTGGGCCAGATACAACAATTCTACATCAAATGCCCTATACATATATAAAAAATTACTTCAATACAACGAAACATGAAAGTACATGTAAACCTAAAATCATTTGTTCTTAAACAATTAACACTAAAACTGTATATAAAGCGAGTGACAAATCTACAATTTATTTTCAAATGTCCTTTTCAACTTTATTGCTAAATACAATGTGTCCAACAATGTAAGATTTCAGTATTTCCAGCAAATGTATGAGTTCCATTGAACTTCTCTCTGAGTACAGGACTTGGGACTGGCATGTAGATTTATCGGTGCAACCATGTGCACTATACAAATGAATACATCTCATTTAGTGTGATAAGTCAACATCAATTGCAGGACTTAAGCATGATAATCCAAGACATGTTTACTATTTCTATAACTTACATGAAGATGAAATGTCTTAAACTTTAAAAACTACATCATCAAAAGGGTAAATAAAGCAAAGTTTTTTTGATAATGAAGTATCTTATTTTACTTAACGATAAAAACATAATGCATTTTAATTTCTTTGATCATGATTGGAGTATATTGTTTGTTCCATTAGATATAATTATTGTCTTTCTCAGACTGCTGGAATCTATCCCCAACCCAAGAAATTACTCCTCAGCTACATTCCTTTTCCAAGTTTTCACTTCTAAAATCTAAAGTTTAGCTTGATCTCCTGACTCCACCGAAATATCATCAGAAATAGCAGAGAGTCAATATCAACAAGACAGTTTGGCAAATTAGTCTGACACACTTCCATACCAAGGTGAATCCATACCAAGTTTAAAGATCCAATGACTAGTCATGTAGGAAATAGAGCCTTGACAATTTTTTCAAATAGGTCAAAGGAGGGACACGGTGGAAAATTACCGTCCACAGCAGTTTCTGTAAGGGGACTTATCATCATATGTAGTAAACAGTATCCTTGGTTTGTGAGATAAATAAACCAGTTCTGATATAAGACGTTTATTTCTATCAGTTAAATAATTAAAATCGTTGAGTATAATTAGTCTCATGATGATATAATTGATATATTTACCATCTCTCCACATGTAAATTAGAAAACAATATGATAGCTGCATCTCTGGTTAGAAGTTTAAAGCCACACTGTGTGTCTCGGATTCCTTGTACACATAGAAACCAGACGAGGAAGTGGAAGCCTTTCATCAGGAATGTACGGAACAGTGATCGCTGTAGATATAAAGACAATCAAAACATTGATTAATGAGATAAATTTCAGTGACAGTGCAAAGTACTTAATGACAAATATTATATAATTTGAAGCTACATGTGTAAATATTATCCTTTCCTGTTCAACAATAAAATATCTCAACTAACATTTGCGATGCAAATAAATATCATTTTCAAGTTAATCAGACGAAGAGTGTTTTGTAATACATAACCCAAGTTTCCTGTTTCTTTTGTTCAATTATTATGGAAGAATACAATAACTCCAAACAGTTAAAAAGTTTAAAAGTTAAAAAATGATAATACCTCTGCAATGGCTTCCTTTTCCAAGTGAGCTCGGGAGCCGCAGACTACAGCTTGATTGTCAGATTTTTTATTAATTTTAAGCATTTCTGTCTCTAGTTTTCTGTAATCTTTGAACTGGCTTGCACCATCAGCATCAGCAAATAACAGCAGTTTTCCCCGCGCTACAAACATTCCCTGTGAACACCACAAAAAGAAGGGTCAGCAGGCTACAGATAACACAAACAGAATTTCAATCCTTTGAATACAGAACTATTGTTTTTCCTCTCTGCATGTTGAAATGAGGACTGCAAAAGTTTTATTTCTAAATTATATATTTATATATATGATGTTCAACATTTTGGTAAAGGAATAACTTGTTTGCATATGCATGGTCAGTATAATTTGACTGGGTGGCCATGGGTGCCTTGCTGGTGGGCTTTGGCAGTAAACTTCAGCGAGATAGCACTATAAAGTTGGCTTCAGTTCTGCACTATCACAAGAAGGCTAACATCAACACCTTACTTTAATGACATTACCTCTTGATAGGAAGTTAGTCAAAATAAACCAAATCAAATAAAATGACTGAAAGAACACATATGCAAATCAGATAGTGAAGCAAATTGATGGAATATCATTTTAAGTACAGTATAAAACCTATTACAACACTGATATCTACGTACCAGGCGCACAGCTCCCCCTTTGCCACGGTTCTTCTCTAATGTCAGTACACGAACCTTATCTACACCATACTTGCTGGAGTATAAATGTCCTGTCTGAAATAAATCAAATGTAATAATCGTTGCTGAAATGTCTATGTCACTGTCTCTCCAGGGATTTATAATACACGAGAAATCAAGACTGATGTTACTCCACACACGTGCTATTTTGTGTATTTAAAACTCATTGAATTATTATGAGGTATGTCTCCTGTATCACTAGTATTTGACTACTTTTCATATGTACACTGTATAGTGTAAGTAAGTAACCCCTGTAACTTTGAAAGTTGGCTACGATCATTTGATCATACTTGATAGCCATTCATCAACAATCATTTGTCAATGCTCTCAGATTTTTTGTTCACTGTAAAGTCAAGGCAATACACTTGGACAAAACTATCCCTACTATTGATCTATTAAAGCAATCTTCTGGACAAACCAGAGTATAAGTAGATTTATGGCAAATTCAACACCAATCTTATTCAACACAACACAGATACATTGTCTGTATCAATCAACTTAATAGTGCAGAAATTCTATTTTTTCTTATTCAGATGGAAAACAACATCTAACGAGCTTTGCTACATTGAATAAATTAGAATAGAACGAGAATAGAATTATATGAAAACACATACCGCTGTTGTCTTGTCCTTGCTGCCATCGTCCACTACTACAATTTCGTAACTGAAGGATGGCATCAGTTTCTAAAGGTAGATATACAATATCATTTCAAAATAGTGACATCACATCTGAAGGGCATGATTAATAGATAGTTCATTAATTTTATCCCTATGTATGTTGTACTTGATTTTCTCAAAATCTTTGTGAATTTCTGTTTTAACTACAGTCAGTACTGGTTCAATTTATTTCCGTTTGTGCATTTAATGAATTGTGATAGACAACTTAGACCTTCTTAATAAATGTACTCTCAAATCCTCACAGTCAAGAGCTCAAGTTATAGACTTTATTTGTGTTGTATTATTTAATTGTCAACATTTGCCACTCACTTATCAATAATTCATGCATAAATAATTGATTAAATGAAAAATTTTCTTGAGCATATGTTGGTCCCTTTAATATTAGCCTGGTATATAATGATAGATAAAAATCCATTATATATTAAGTTGTCAAATACAAAAACATTTGATTGGTTTAGTATATATGTTTCAGATATGGTTGTCAGTCAATACTAGATATGGCTATCAATGATTTACGAGGTCTTACTACATAACTGCTATTTGTGAAAATGGAATCTGGTTATTCTAAGATACAAAAATCAACATTTAAGAATTCCTACCTGTCTTTCTTCTAAATAATCTATGGCTTCATTCATCATGGCAGGCACTACAATAAAAAAGAAAACAAACTCAATTTAACAAAATTATTTACAAATCATGCTATAAGTGTGTAAAACAACAATGATAACATATATTGATACATACATTGTAGTACCATTAATGCAAAGTGTCAGTTTTTTCAAGTACAGTTTCAACTTTTTCCACTAAAAGGAGTGTTACAAATAAAATTCATCTCAAATGAATTCAACCCTGTTGCTAAGATTTTACATACTGGTAAAACATATAAGGGAATTTAGTGAACCTATGTAAATAGCAATGATCTGCATATACCATATCTAAGTTCTTGAAATTTAAACAAGAGAAATTGAAAAAAAGTAATTCCTTTTATCTTTAATATTATTTGTTTATGCATAGTATTCGGTATACTGAATGCTGATAATTATGTATTACACAAGAAATTTGTTTTAAACAAATCTGTGCTCAATATTATCAAATACCCATACAAAATAAGTTATAAAAACAACACATGACCTCTCCTAAATCCAAGCAAAACTTTATGTTAAAAAAACTCAAGTTTAAAAGGCAAATGACAGGACATTTCCTGGAGAGAAAGCCCGACATCTTGATCAATCTGTCTTAACAGTGGTTACATTATTTACATAGTTACATTGGTATATGTACCATGTACCAATACATACACCTTTCTTCTTCATTATAAGCTGGAACCACAACTGTTAGGTCAACACTCGGGGGATCATGGATGCTGGGTAACTTTATTTTCTTATTCTTCTTTGGATCCAGGAAATACTCTTCACTCTCAAATCTGCCTAGGTCTGGATAGGCTTCACTTGATTTATAGATGATAACCATCGCCTACAAACATAAATAAATGTAGGTATGCTACTGATAGGATTTATTTCATCCTTGTTTGGTGTATAAGGTGTACTGTATACATTTTATTATAATTTCAATATTTGTTTCAACATTCTTAAAATCAGACACCCCAGTTATTTGCTTTCATTATGGTGGATTTATATAATATGTATATCTTCAAATTCTACAAAGAAATATATTGAAATTAACACTTTGTTCTTGCTTTCCTTCTAAATCAAATGTCAAACTAGTCATGTGCTAGGACACCAATGTGTCTTCTTCATGTTTTGCATGGAAGAAACTTTTGTAGTGCATAAACTTGCAACGTTAGATGATGCTTTAGTTAGCTGTTGTGTGTAATATCTGACAACCAATAAAACTGAAGTACTTTGACTTGCAAGTTTTGAACTCTAAACATGTACAATCTCAGTAAACCTTACCACTTGGTGAGCTAATATGTCAAGCTGTCTATTCTGACATGCAAATCAAGCTTAAGAGATGTTCTGTCCAGTCAAGCATTTTATTATAGCTAGCTATAGCATTTATTAAGTTACTTATTCAAGTTGCACCCCTTTCCACCAACTTCTCTGCCAGGACAGCTATAACTTGTCCTCAAGTTTGCAGAGGTTACACAATTGTTTGCAGAGAAATGCTAAATATTTTGCCCATATTTCTTGAGTCCCTTGGACTGCAGTGTAATGGAGGTCCTTATTTATTTCCTAGGAACTGAAGCAGAGACCACTGATTTGTTAGTTAAGCGATCAACTGATCACGCTATTAACAGTAAAGTTCTCTTTAACAGAATCATCAAAATATAACTAGCATTTACTGTCCTGTGTTTACAAGGGTTACATATATCCCTTATCTTGTTCGATTACCCTCTTAAACTCAAGTCAAAACACTCCAACCTAGATGTTGGCATTTGTCAGACAGGCGTTACTGTATCAACCCGCCTGTGTACTGTCATGTACATTGAATAAAGTAAAACATGCCAGTACAACTGCCATTGGACTGTGACACAATAATCTTTGAAGTGAACAGTTAACATATGTTATACATTTTTGAACTAAAACAAATAGTATCACATGCCCCTATAGGTTAGTTGAAAGACTTATGATTATCTATCAACGATCCCGTTCTTGTTTTAAGAATGTGAACAGATAATTATATCTCTTCGGACTATGAGTGGACCAGCATTGCAAAAGCTCCATCGGCAGATCAGCTTTTCCAGCCTCATTGGGCTCAAAGTTAGAAGCCATTGCACTTAACGATAAAAGCGCTTTGATACAACGTCTTGTTTTCAACAGCTGGCATTGCATGATTGGCTGTAACCTGGTTAAGAATACATACCGGTTGCATCAGAAACTATCAAATACAATGTTATGTTAGTGTAGAAAGCGGATAAATTCGACCCTAGTTTAAGATTTCTACGAATATGAACTCGTGCATTTAACTTTTTCTTACCAAAATCAATACAACAACCAATATTAGCACGAGAGCGCAAACTACAGCCGTTAGTGTGCACTCCATAGCTATCCGTGGTGTCCCCGGAAGTTGTTGTTCTTTCCCTAGTCATTTAGGCGCTTAATGCGTTCTTAGCGTGCTATTGAAGCGTTTTAGGTTCAGAAATTATAAAAAGAAAACTACTAACGCGTGCGGTGCGGAACCTAAATCAAAACATATAATAGACATTCACACACAACGTCATGGATTCATACAGAAGGACGGGTGTTCCTTGGTAAGTTGTCATCACGATTCTAACAATTAATTGCTCCTGACAAATTGCATCCTTGTTCAGTGAATTACGTGCCCGGTAGAGGCTTACACTTGAATCTGTATGTGTCAATGTACAGTATAGCTGCAGTGTTGTAGTTAAGATACACACATATAGAGATCTGATTATATCATCACGATTTTATCATATTGTGATGCCGGGTATTATCGCTCTAGCTTTAATGTGATTACATACAATATCTGATATATATATATATCATCTCATTATTTAAGACTGTGTTATATATGATTCTGCATTTTATTGGTAATGTGATAATGATAATGTGTATTTTGACATAGACAGACATGCTGGTATATCCATGTATACTATTAGCGCGGACATAGATATGTTAAATATACAGCCTATGCTATTAGTACTTATATCAATAATGCAACACAATATAATAAAACATATTATCACATATTTTCAAAATTCAAGTGTCCTTCTATCTCTATATGCATTTCTGTGTCCTAGGAATATGTTCTGTTAAATTATATGTTTCTGTAAATGGTATACAGATGCATATTCGATGGACCCTGTATAGTGGTACAGATTTATGTCTGACCTTCATTGTAGTTATCGGCTATCAACATGTCAACATAGAGTGCCAACCCAACATACTCATCATGTATACATACCTCAGTAAGAACTCACCAAACACATTTCTACCCCTATAAAGGGCCACCAAACAAACATATATATATACAAACCAAATATACATCCGTACCTCTGTACAAGGCCTGCCATATAATTTTTGTACTGGACCCATCAAACATACAAATTATTCCATACGGGACCCACTGGAGAAAACCCATACATATATGTACCTCTAAATCAAGCAAAAAACTTTGTCGCATTGCGACCGTCAGCATAGTAGTAGTAGTAAATCAAGCAAATCAAATGAATATTTGAACCTTTCCATTTCACCTGAACCTCTATTCTAGACCCCAAATGAATGTGTAGCTCTATAGAGGACTACCAAACATACCTGCGTTCCTCTGTACAGAGCCAAAATTCTTTACAGGATCCTCTAAACATACCCTTATGTAACAGAGGTCATTATTTATTTCAATGCCTCGGCTAGGAATCAAACCTGGGACCCCTGGCTTACTAGTCAGATGCTCAACCAATCAAGCTGAAGAGGAGTTCTCTCTAGTCGAGTAGTATATTGCGGCTAGTATTTTATCAGGGTTACATACTCTCTCTCCAGGAAACAACTCATCCTTGAGTTTCCAGGGGTTACAGCGATGCTGGTGGGGCATGACTAAGTACTATTCCCAGGTCCCTACATGGGTGCCAATGTAACAGAGGTCATTTTTAATTTCAATGCCTCGGCTAGGAATGGCACCTGGGACCCCTGGCTTACTAGTCTGACGCTCAACAAATCGAGCTAAAGAGAAGTTCTCGCTAGCCGAGTAGTATATTGCGGCTAGTATTTTACCAGGGTTACACTTACTCTGTTCAGAGCCCACAAATTATATGTATGTACCTTTATTTAAGGCAAGTCGAAAAACATTTGAATCTCTATGCAAGGCCTATTTCACCTGAATGAACATTGTGTACATCTATGGAGAATCACTAAACATACTTCTGTAATGTATACCTCTATATAGGGCCCACCAAATATACGTATGTACCTCTTTACAGTGCTCATGAAACACATTTGTATCTCTATAAAGGGCCCACCTAACATATATCAGTACTTTGTAATACAGTAACCACCAAGCATATGTCTTTACAGGGCTCACCAAATGAACATTGTACCTATTAAGGGCCCAAAAAAATTACATTTGTACCCCTGTAACCAGACAACAAATATGAATCTCTGCTTCAATACAGGACCTATTAAACATGATTCTGTACCCCTATATAAAGAACAGACAAATAAATATCCCTGTAACTCTATTAATATAATGCCAGGAAATTGTACATCTGTACTTCCATACAGTATACAGAACTCTAAGATTACACTTATGTACCTCCGTATAAGGCCCATCAAAAACATTTGTATGTCTATGCATGATCCATCAGACATACCTCTGTACATCCTCTATACTCTAGAGATTACATTATCACTTTCACTTTCTGCACCCCTGGAACATGTCGTGGCAAAACTGTGCCATGTGTGACACCTTGTGGACAAGACGAAATGTCATAAATATTTTACGGGTACTTCCTCCCAATTTTTTCAACTAATCTCTTTCAAACTAAATAGGCTTAACCACCTCATCATGAAGTTGTTTTTTCCAGGATGCATTTTAATTTGACTTTTTTTGGAAGAGTTACTGCCCTTTTTTAGCCCACCATCATCAGATGGTGGGGTATTCAAATGGACCTGCGTACGTGGTCCGTCCGTCCGTCCATAAACAATTCTTGTTACCGCTATTTCTGGAAAAGTACAGGATGGATCTTTCTCAAATTTCAAATGCAGGTTCCTCTTGGTCCCTAGTTGTGTATTGTACCTTTTTTGGATTGATTCGAATTCAAGATGTCCGACAGGTGGCCATCTTGGATTTTGGAAGTAAAAGGTTGTTATCGCTATTTCTGAGAAAGTACTGGATGGATCTTTCTCAAATTTCATATGCAGATTCCCCTTTTTCCCTAGTTGTGCATTGTACCTTTTTTGGACTGATTCAAATTCAAGATGGCTGACAGGCAAACAAACAAAAAAAAAATAAACAAATCTTCAAGAACTGAAAACAGATCCTCAAATGGTGGGCGCCAAGATCCCTCTGGGATCTCTTGTTTAATAATTCAAATCTAGACCAGAGACTTCCACCCAATTTTCAAATGATCTCTTTCAATCTTGATATGCTTGTAAATCACCATAACATTGCACATTTTCCTGCAACTTTTTTTGATAGAACTATTTTTTGCAAGAGTTACTACTGCTTGTTTTCAATGATCAAAATCTTGTCCAGAGGTCTCCACACTCCATTTTCAAACTGGTTGACTACATTACCTTGGCCAGAAGTATTTTTATCTTGTAAAGTTTTTGATTAAATAACTTTTGAAGAAGTTCTTTCCTTTTGTTTCTTTTCCAACATTTTAATCACATCCTATGTCCTCCCAGATCTTTTTTTAAACAATTACTTTTAAACTTGGTGTTCCTACAATGATAATGTAAAATTGTGTTTGTCGGAACAGCTTTTATAGATTCAACAACTATTGGATGAACTATAGTTCTTTTTTTCAGCCTTTTTCATGTTGTCTGGAGACTTCTTCTCTCAGTTTTTACTGATATCTTTAAAAGCTGGTATGCTTTATCCAAACATAACATTGGTTTTCCTCATGGAATTTTGACTTGAAGAGTTATGGATGAGTGACTGTCCTACATTCTCCCTCAATTTTAAACCAATTTCAGATTTGATAGACTTAAATTAGCTTCCTTAGTGACATTTTCATTAGATTGTTTCATATTTATAATTTGAATTCATTTTGATACAATTAAGTGTTTAGATTTTGACATAAGATAATCATATTTACCACCACAGAACTCATGTGTATTGTTATTGTGGCTATATTAAAATCTAAAATGAGTTAAAAATTTCAGTTGAGATATTCTGTGGACCATACAGAATCATTGATGGAATCCTGTTTAAATCAAATTTTAGTTCAGAAGACACTAGATGGCTTTTCACAATGACAGTTGTGCAGTAATCTTGAATGCCACCTAAGCCTCTTTACCCTGTTGAATCTGAAGATACACCACCCACAAGTCGAAGTTCTGTAAAACCATGACTTTCATGTCATGAATGTAGTGATTTCACTTGGGGCCATTTTTGACTTATACACTACGCATTAGTGGAAATTCTGTTTTGATACAACTTAAGTTATTAACAGAAATAGCAGCAAACATTTTCATTTCTTTATGTGTCCGGAGCATGACTTTGCTTCCAGTTGAGCAAGTATAATGAAGACTGATGTATACATTGGTAAATGGATGTGCAGTGAAACAAATTCAGGGCCTTTGACCCCTAAATTACAGAGTTACTGCCCTTTGTTAAAAACGCCTTGTCAAGAGAACTTTGCTTGCATTTCAGTTAGGAAAATAAAGCTTGGTGCATACATTGACAGTATGCAGTGTAACAATGTTAGGAACTGCAGCTCTTTCATTAAAGGGTAATTGTCCTTTGTTAAGTTTATGTGACATGAGCGTAGCTTTGCTTGCATCAAAACTAGGATCATGAAACTGCAACCCTTAATTTCAGATTCATTGCTCTTCGTTAAAATTTTGAGTCCAGTGAAGTTTTTTTCAGGAACATTCATCGATGTCACTGAAATCCTTCTTTCAAAATTGTGGTCACCTGGAATACGGCATGTGTCGTCTGTGGACCATACATTAAATGTGATTTTCACGATGGAGACTATTTGAAATGTGATGTACAAATTTCACGAAGGACTATCTGTAGACCATACATAAATATAAATTGTAAGGTGTTCAGTCCTATTTTGATGAATCAATCCTTCCTGAAAAATTTGAGGAAACAAGATTTCCTGTATCAGATAACATCGATCTTGAATGCAACATGGGTTTGAATTAAGTTGAAGATCAGCTTTAACTTCGCCCTACTCCCTAGAAGACTCCTTGTCTCTGTATTGTCATCCATTTAGGTGGAGTAGTGCTGATAGATATTGTTCACAGATGAATGGAATCAAGAAAATAACATAACCTTTACTGGTCTTCCACCAGAAAGGCTGTAGACTTCCATTGAAAACATACACAAAATGTAATTATAATGTTTCAGATTCTTTA